TCCACGTAGACAATTAGCAGGATGTAGTCGCTGTTCTTCGTGAGGCGGTACATGCCCTGATCGTGCGGGAGTTGTTTGAAGCCGATGCGGATGAGGCGAGTATGCAGGTACTGCTGCCACAAGCGCGGCGCCTGTTTGATCCCATAGAGCGATTTTAGTAGCTGGCAGACGTGCGTGGAATTTGTGTTGGAGCCGTGCGGTAGTTCCACGAAAATCTCTGCATCGACCGGTGCGTAGAGAAATGCGTTCGCGACGTCGATTTGGCGCAGTTTCTTCTTCTTCATAGCGGCGATGGCGAGAAGAATTCGAAGTGAAGTGTGGCGGCTGACCGGAGCGAAGGTTTCGGTGAAGTCTCGTCCATGTTCCTGGTCGAAGCCGCGAACGACCCAACGCGCTTTGAACTTGTCGATGGTGCCGTCGGCCTTCGTCTTCACACGGAAGACCCATTTCCCGGTAAGAATGGTCTTGTTTCGCGCTACGCCGATGGGAACGACTTTCCAGGTGTTGCGCTCCTCTAATGCCTTCAGTTCCTTGTCCATGGCTTCGCGCCATTTTTCCTTATGCTCCCCCCCCAGAGCCTGCTGAACCGTTGCAGGCTCCTTAGGAATGTCAGCGCCGTGGACCGCGGTGACGAGCCCAAGGATTTGGAGTCCGCTCTGTGTGTAGCGGGGGAGTGTGGTGTCCTCGGGATAGACTGCCTCGTCTCCAGTTTCTGGATCGGGTGCGAAGTTGGGCCCTATGCGTTCTGCTTCGTTGGTGTTGACTTCAGCAGGTGTAACGTAACCGTTGTCGGCGAATTGGTAATAGATGTCGGCGTTGGCGCTTTCGCGAGGATTTTCTTCGTCCATCGGTACGTCGACTGAGCAGTAAGGAAGAGGCCCGTCTTCTTCCGAGGCTCCGTCCACGTTCTGCTCGTCCCAGTCAGCTTCGTCTCCTGCCGAAGCGAAGGCTCGATCTCCGCGGAAGCCACCTGTGGGGTCTCGGTTTTCGTCCAGGTTGGCAAGGTACGTTGGCAGTGTGAGTCGTTCGTAGAAAATCACGTCACGTGCTGCTACTGTTTCCTTGCTGTTGATATCGAAGATCTTCCATGCGTTGTAATGTTTTTCGATGCCCAGGTGTAGTCCCCACTGTGCGCGTTGGGAGAATCGGCCGGCTCGTGCAGATGGGGGTCGGTACTGTACCATGCAGCCGAAGACTCGTAACATTTTTGTGCTGCCCAGTTTCCCTGTCCACAGCAGATGCGGTGATGTGTTGTTCGGGAGTGACGACGAAGAAAGCAAATTGTGCAGCATCACGGCGTGGTCCATTGCTTCGGGCCACTGGTGGTTGGGTAGCCGCATGCCACGTAACAGTTTGCGCATGGTGTTCTGCAGAGTCCTGTTCATCCTTTCTGCTACACCCTGCTGTTGATGGGCGTAGGGAAGGGAGATGAGTCTCTTGATTCCCTTCTCCGCCAGGTACTGCTTGAATCGTTGTGACGAGTATTCTCCTCCTCCGTCTGATTGAAAACTTTTGAGTTTAGCTCCCGATTCCCGTTCTGCTGCTGGAAGCCATGCCACGAAAGCCTCGAAAGCCATGTCGCGACTTGGTAAGTTTAGGTGCCAGACGTAACGTGTAGCGGCGTCGATGAAGGTGATGGTGTAGTTATACGCGTTTTGTCCGGGTTCGCGGTTGTACAAGATGTCGCTGTACACTTTCTCGAGTGGTGCATATGCGGGTGCGCTTGGATTGTGATGCGAGACGAAGGGTTGATGCGGTAAGTCAGCTTCAGGACAGGTGAAGCATGTCCCTCGTGCTCGTTGAAGTTCTCGTCCGTCTGTTAAAAGTAAAGAGTCCTTGTCGAGTACTCCTGCTCGAATCGTGTTGTTTAACACAGTGTTGCTTGGGTGTCCCATTCTTGCGTGCCAGATTTCTTCGTTGGCGCGATGACCGGGTGAGCGCCGATACATGTCGGAGTTGGAGAAGAGACCAGCGGTGAAGCTGGGACTGTGATGAAATTCTCGTGGTGCTGGCTGAAGCTGTTGTGCAGGTGTTGGTGGTGCATCGTCGTTGAGGAACGCTGTCGTTGAAGGACCGGCGACTGGTGTCGTCGTTGTCTCTGCTGCTGCCGAAGTTGTTTCTGCTGCTGCCGACGTTGTCTCTGCTGCTGCCGACGTTGTCTCTGCTGCTGCCGATTGTTGAATTGTCGCTAATGCCCTTGTTCGTTCTGTCTCAGGGACGGTGTGTGAGTACCAGAAGCCGCCTGGACTGAAGTCGGGGTCAAGATCCGGAGGGTGTGTCCAGTTGGTAAAGTTGACTATGGCGTCACTGTCAGCGGTGCCGAGATCAGGAACGAAGTCCAAGACGAAGACGTTGTTTTTAAGGACTGCCTTCCCGATGTAAAGACCTCCTCTCCCGTGGTACAACTTGAATTCTTGGGTAGTGCTGTCTGCTTCGAGGTGGATGCCTTTCGCCATCAACTGACTCACACTGAGAAGGTTGTATCCGAGGCCTTCTGCAATTAAAACCTTGGACATTTGCAGAATGACGTTTGTCTCCCGTGACTGAAGTTGTACAATTCCTTGTCGTCGTGTGCGCAGGTTTTGATTATTGGCGACGGTGATGACGACCTCTCGTTGAAGCTGATACTCTCTCTGCACGAAGCGTCCCGAAGAACACATGTGTTGTCCGCAGCAACTGTCCAAGAACCACGTGTCTTTTCCGGATGGCTCGTTTTGGGCGATGGCAGCGTATGTCGGATTTGGTTGAAGTGCTTCGCGACGAGGTGTGGTGTTGTCGAGTTGTTCTTCCGGTGAGTAATGAGGTGGTGAATCCATGACGCAAGAGTCACTCAGTCTTGCCATGCAGCTAACGATGTTTCTTGCTCCTTGCGCAGGTTGTCCCGTTGAGGTCGTTGAAGCTTGGATCTGGGTCGTTGGATTCGCTTGCGTTGACGCAATTTGACTGCTTGAAGGTCGAAGGTGTCGTTGCGGGGTCGTTGACTGTTGACGATTCGGGCAGTGCGTGCGCGGGTGCCCTGAAGTCTTGCAGATGTGACAGAAGGGAGGTACTGGCTTCGGCTGTTGTTGTCTGTTGCTGTAGTTGTTGTGTCGTCGTTGGGTGTGAAATGCGAACTCTGACGTTGTCGTCTTCTTCCTGTGTCGTTCTTCTTGCAGATCCATGTCCTGCTGTTCGGCGTGGATTTCGGCGCAGAGTGCTGCCTCAGAAATTCGTCTATCCGAGGGCTCGGAGGATGGCCTTTGTTGCGCGCCACTGAGGACCGAGGCCGCCGATGATGACCGTCACGAAGGCGTCCTCAGAGATTGATCCTCCACATCGAAGAAGCTTGTCGCGCAGTTCGCGACATCGACTGATATATGCCATTCCTTTCTCTCCTGGTTTCATCTCAACTGTTGTCAGCTGCGCCATTAACCTGCTCTGATTTACACTGTCTGTTGCTTGGTACAGGTTCTTCAGATGGTTGTACGCGAGTTCCGCCGAGTTGCCGAAGGCCCGGTAAGAGCGAATGTTCTGCTGCTGAGTTGGTGTTACGTTCCTCAGTAGGATCGTATACGCCATCATCGATTGATACGTGTACTGCTGCTTCTCATACTGTGTGCCGTTTGCTGGGTATTGCAGGGACCCGTCGAAGAAGCCAAGTATCTGCGCGCCCTCCATCATCAACTCGAACTCAAAGGACCAGGTGAAGAAGTCCTTTCCGTCGAATGGTCTTGACGTTTGAAGCTTCAAAACGTGTGCGAACTGCGACTGTACTTGTAACGCGTCCAGTGATTTGTCTTGTGCAGGCGAAGACTGCGGCATGAAGCTGATTGACCCGCGTTCGTACGGGGCGAAGGTAGGTTGCTGCTGTTGATTTCCGCGCGCGTATGACGACCCATCAAGGCTCATGGGCGTCACTCCGTTGTTGCTGTTGTGTGTCTGTGCAGGTCCCGACTGCTGGTGCTGCTCGTAGAAGGACATGAAGGAGAAGAACTTCTCCATCATGCTCTGGTCGAAGCCCGTGGGGCGATTTGTGAGAGTCTCGGTGGACGTTCCCCTAGGTCTTGTTGCCGTGCCTTCCTCTGTCTGCAGGCCAGAGGCAGGAGGTGGTGTAGGAGTAGTGCCCGGGGAGCCATTAGAAGAGCTCCTCTCCTTGTTTGTTGCCATGTCTTGTAATGTCTTTGATTTGGAAGTGGTAGAGTTTCCCCTGACTGCTCTCATACCATGTTGGGCTGAGATAGCCCCTTAGGATCTTTTCAGGGGAGAACTCTGGATAGGACAATTGTAATAGCGGAAGCTTTCAGTGAAGAAATTGTGAACCACCTTGCGCTAGTATGTGAGGGCAAAGTAGATTGATTATAACAAGAGAGTACAAGAATATATAATAATGCAGGGAATATTAAAGGATACAGTTATAACTACTCTTACTGTTGCTGTTGCGGTTCGATACAGTACGACTCGGGCAACTGCTCTGTAACGAGTCAGTTGTATGTCCTTAACTGTCGCGCTGTACTTGTCAGGTCAAAGGTCGCTGACCTTTGACTTTTGCGTAACCTCCAGCAACCTCTTCAACCCCTTAGGGTTGACTCGCGGGGCTTCGGTGTAGTTTGCCTCGCTTCTGGTGCGGTGTTTCGACACGACTGAAGCGCTTAAGTTTTATTGTTTCCAACACCAGATACTTACGAATGACATTATAGGTACGGTACGTAGATACCGTACATGACTATTATAAAGAAACATCCATCATTCCTTCCTGACAAGGTACATTAGTTGAAATGATACCAACCATACTTGCAACACAGAGCAACCGTACGGTATTCTAACATGCCATCACCATCACATCACAATCCATGCCAATGTGACCCAATACAGTACTGCCTGCACTGCATGGCTTGTGCTGCCTGCAACCCTCTGCCGCCTGTGCTCCAGCCAGCCAGAGAGGGGGAGTACTGGCCGTGCAGATTCAGCCAGGGGGAGTGATGGCCATGCAGATTCAGCCAGAGAAGGAAGGAGAAGCAGGGCTATCCAAGGCGGGCCTTGTAGAGCAGAATATAAGCCATGTGCCAGTCGCCTGCACACATGGGGGAGAGGCATGACATGAAGAGTGCAGATGTGGATCAGGCTTTGCATGTAAATAGCTGCATCTGGTCACGTGCATTTGATGCCACATGACAGAAACTAGCAGCTACTGAGTGTGATATGTATGATGATTTGTGACTTTATGCGTGATTATGTGGCATGAGACTACAAGGCACGTGACTAAAACAAGCCACGTGACAACCCCACTGCCCACCTCCCCCTACAAGTTTGACGATCTCCTCCTCGTTGCACATGATTGTTTGTGACTATATCGTGCGTGACACACATGACACGTGACAACAAGGCATGTGACAGTCACGCAGCTCACCTCCGCCCGCCAGGTTGACGATCTCCTCCTCGTTGCGCATGATGGGCTGCTCGTCATCAAACTCTATCCACTTGCCTGCAACGGAAAGGGAAAGGAGAAAGAGGGGGGTTGGGGAAGGGGGCGAGGCGACGGGGTTTGACCCTGAGGGGTTGGGGAAGGGGGCGAGGCGAGGGGGATTGACCCTGAGGGGTTGGGGAAGGGGGTGAGGCGAGGGGGGTTGACCCTGAGGGGTTGGGGAAGGGGGTGAGGCGAGGGGGGTTCACCCTGAGGGGTTGGGGAAGGGGGTGCTGCCCATAAGGGTAGGGGGCATGATGGGTTGTTTGTAATCAAACGCTATCCACTTGTCTGAAACGAAGCAATGGAAACGAGAGAGGCGATAAGGGGAGAGGGTTGGAGAGACATGAATGCTAGGGGGCACAATTGCCTGCAATGCACACAGAGGGGGAAGGAGGTTGTGATGGAGCGAGGTGAGGAATGAATGACATAGAAGATGGAAGGCACGCGCGAATGCAAAGCATTTCTCAGAATTCTAAAAGATTCCCTCATGGCATGAGTGAGTGCTCAGGGATGAACTTTATCCACATGCCTACTGTGCAGCCACGGGTAGGGCGGCGAGGTGATGTGGGGTGGTGGGGCATTGACAGGACAGTGTAGGAACCTCTTAGCATTCAACAAAAAAAGGACAAGGCATGGACGGGACAGGGCAGGAAGGTCTTCACATTGAAACATGTCCCAACAAGACAATGCATGGATATATTAAAGCATTGTTGTAGGACGAGGTCAGCCATGGAAGAATACAACATGAGATGGGGTGGGATGGGATGAGATGGGACGGAGGGACGAAACATGCGGCAACTTTTGTTCGGTTAGAAGTACGCTGTTCATACCACATACTGCTCCCCTGCTTCGCCTATTCATGCCACATACCGCTCTCCTGCTTCACCCATTCATGCCACACACATACCGATCCGTACCGCACTGTACCGCACAGTACATGCCACGTACCGCTCTCCTGCTTCACCCATGCCACATAATGTCCCGAGTCTGCACTCCTGCCCTTGTGCGTCAGCACTGCTGTCAGGTCAAACAGCCCCGTGGCTGCACGGGTGGGGGAGGAGGGGGGTCGGGTTGGGAAGGAGGCGGGGGAGGGGAAGGAGAGCGGTGAGTCAGTTGGAAGGGTCACATAGGCTCCGCAGTCCACATTGCTGCCCTTGTGTGACCGCACAGCTGAACAGCCCTGTGGATGGGCGGATCGGGTAAGAGCGGGGGAGGTAGGAAGCAGCACGGATAAATGGAGGTGAGAGGATCACACACTCCCCAAACCAAAGCCGCACCTTTGTCAATCGAATGGCCCCGTGGTTGCGTTTAGGAATGGGCAGGTTGGTGGGGAGGAGGGAGAGGAGGAGGGGGGGGAGGAGGAGGAGGAGGAGGAGGAGGAGGGGGGGGGGGAAGGAGGGGGGAGAGGGAAGGATGAGGGGGAGGAGGAGGAGGAGGAGGAGGAGGAGAGGAGGAGGAGGAGGAGGAGGAGGAGGAGGAGGAGGAGGAGGAGGAGGAGGAGGAGGAGGAGGGGGAGGAGGAGGAGGAGGAGGAGGAGGAGGAGGAGGAGGAGGAGGAGGAGGAGGAGGAGGAGGAGGAGGAGGAGGAGGAGGAGGAGGAGGAGTAGGAGGAGGAGGAGGAGGAGCAGGAGGAGGAAAAGGGGGGCATTATAACCCACACATGGCATGGCGGCTGCAAAGGGTTCAAATGATCTGCCAGTAAAGAGCAGAACGGACGCCCTTCAGATCACGAGCAAGAGCGGGACAGGCGGAGCGCCATATTCAGAGCATGGTATAGAAGAGATTGTTTTCAGAAATTTGAGAAAATTATCTTACTTATATAGCACGTGATGGGATAAAAAACTCAGGAGACTGGGCTGGCTGGCAGCTTATGACAACATAAGTATGAAAAAAGTGCGTGATCACGCAGCTTATGATCACCTAATTTTGCAGAAGTGCGTGATCATGATCCGTACCTTCTCCGCCCTCCTTGCTGTCCGCGTCTGTGGAGGCAGAAGCATTAGAAGCCTGCATGGAGAAGGTGGGTCAGAGAAGACAACGCAGTGCAGTGCAAGGTGGGACGATTCAAAGATGGGACCAATGTACAATAGGATGAGTCACAATGAAATGAGACACGCTTCCTCTCACACAATCTGCCTTGCTTGATCCTTCGGCGCCCACCCCTCTGTTCTTCCTTAGCATCTCTGATCGTCCCCTATCTCTGCCTTGCAGCTCTTCTTGAGAGCCCTCCCGTATCTGCGAAACCCCAATTCCACAACTCTCACTCCGATGTCTCTCACCTTTCCAAGTACAGCCTTCATCCATACCTCCCTCCTCACCTGCCAGGTGGGCGCTGCACCCCTCCCTGCTCCTCACCTGGGCAGGCTGAATCGCAGCAGCGCCATCCACATCCATGGCTGCGCCTCCCCCTCCGCCCTCCTTCAACTCACCCCCCTCCCCCACCCCGCTCTTCGCCTCTGCTCCCTCTGCTGCCGCCCCGTCTTTCTTCCCCTCCGCACTCCCACTCCCCTCTGCCGCCCCTCCCAGCCCCTTGGCCGCACTGCCCCCTTCCACCTCCATCTTCTCCCCCTCCTTCTCCCCTGACCCCTCCCCCTTCTCCCCTTCCTTCTCCCCGTCCGCCTCCCCCTCCTTCCCCTTCCCCTTGCCCTCCACCAGCCCCGCCTTGATGTCATCCGCCAGGCGCAGGCGCTGGGGGAAGGGGGGGAAAGCGGGGCAGAAAGAGAGTGGAGTGAGGGGAGGCGCAGACGAGTGCAACAAGAAACGCGTTCAGGAAAGGATTACTTCTTGCCACCACTGTTCCGCCCTCCTTCCCCTTCCCCTTCCGCCCTCCACCAGCCCCGCCTTGATGCCATCCGCCAGACGCAGGCATTAGGGGGAAGGGGGAGGAGGGGAAGAGGCGCGGCAGGTGGGTGGGAGTGAAGGGGGAGGACCACAGCAGTGAAACAGGGTGGGGAAAGAAGAGGTCATTTCTGAGACGCCTAAGAAGGCGCAAGTCAGGATTGAAGGTGCCCTGTGATGAGGTATCCGCGATAGAGATTGCTCAATAAGAGAATCAAAACATCGCCTTGTGAACGGAGCATGGTCAGTAAGCTATACGTTCAACAAAAAGGCAGCTTGACTTAAACACTCGCGGCAGGGGCACTCACTTTCCTGGGCCCGTCCAGCTTGGCCCTGAGCTCGGGCGTGCAGAAGTCATATACGTCCAACACGAGGGGGTAGGTCACCCTCTGCAGTATGGGGGGAGAGTCATGGGGGTACGGCAGCAGGCGAAGAGGGGGGGCAGAGAGGGGCAGAGAGGGGAGCAGGAGGGGGGCAGAGGGAGGGGCAGAGAGGCCAAGAGGGGGCGTGTCCAGCTTGGGTGTGAGCTCGGGTGTGCAGCAGTTATAGACGTACATTACGATGAGGACAGGCCGTCCTGTCATCCCAGTTCATGCAATCATACATGGAGAGGAATGCAAGGTGGGGGGCAAGGCACATTGCCCAGGGCACGGCACATTGCACGGGACAAGGCACATTGCACGGGACAAGGCATGGTAAGGCAGGGCATGGCAGGGCAGGGCAACGCAGAGCAAGGCAGGGAAAGGAAAAGGCATGGTAAGGCAGGGCAGGGTGGTACTGACTCGGAGGATCTTGGCACGGTAAGGTACGGCAAGGTACGGTAAGGTACGGTAAGGTACGGTAAGGTACGCTAAGGTACGGCAAGGTACAGTAAGGGACGGCAAGGTACGGTAAGGCATGGTAAGGCACGGTGAGGCACAGTAAGGCACAGCAAGTTACGGTAAGGCACGGTAAGGCAAGGTAAGGCATGGTAAGGCTTGGTAAGCCACGGTAAGGCACGGTAAGGCATGGCAAGGTACTGACTCGGAGGATCTTGGCCTTCTGCTGCGACTCGCGCTTCCAGAAGAAACGGACGAACTGCACCGTAAGGTAGCTGGGAGGGGTTGGGGAGAGAGAGGGGAGGTGTAACAGTAAAAAACACGAACTGCAATGATGGCACAATAAAACACAAACTGCACAGCTATAGCAGCCCCTTCTTCTGACTCGAAGGCATGAAAGATACGTCACACTGACACGTCCCCTGCGATGCTCGTACTGCACTTATTTAGTCAACTTCTTTTCCTTTTCTTTTTCTTCAGCACGTGGCATTGCTTAGTTTCGCAGCATGCTTGGGCGCGCATGCACATGGGCCACATGCACATGGGCCACATGCACATGGGCCACATGCACATGGGCCGCGGTTCTAAATCTACCCACCAACTGCGCCTTAAGAGGGCAGTGACAGCATCCACACCACAAACCCTAAAATCCAAACCCTGATATCTAAACCCTAAACCCTGAGACATTGGAACACCACACGCAGTGACAGAGCAGGGCAGTGGCTCAAAAGCAAACAGAGTGGGTTGGGGACAGTGCAGGTGAAGTGGCTCGAAAGCAAACAGAGTCGTCAGCAAACAAAAAAGCACAGCGTGGGTCTTGGGAGGGGTGAGAACAGTGGGATGCATGAGTTGGGCATAACACCGAGGGCCGGAATGGCATCATTAACACACCAAAGAGGCAGAAAACGAGAGGCATTTGCACACCCTAGCGAGCAAAAAAAGGTCCATGCTGGAAAAAAAGCGTAAGAAACTCCTTTTTTTTTGCCGCAGGGGATGAGATGAAAAACCAGCATGGGAACTTCAACACATTTAAGCAACTGATAGGTGTGCCGAACATTCCTCATCAAAATTCGTGTTTAATACTCTCTTGTTATGTTGAAAAAAACACATCTCTTCTCGTTCGTACAAATACCGTCGCTCAGATCGCTAGATCTGAAATGTGCATGTCTAGACTTGGATTCATTGTTCCCTCCAGACTCGCAGTGCAGCCTCCTCGAACGGCTGATGCTTTGCCAGAGCAACAACTTTGAGAACATCAGCAATCAACTGCCGTGTCTGCGGAAGCAGAGCATCATTCCGAACGAAGACCGCACTAGCTGATGCTCAACAGTCGGAGACACGGCAGCCGATCGCTGATGCTCCTAGAGATTTTTAAAGTCGTCGCTCTGGCAGAGCGCCAGCCATTCGAAGAGGGTGCATTGCGAGTCTGAAGGGAACAAGCAATCCAAGTCTAGACGGGCACAATCCAGATCTAGCGACTTGTGCGAGGATAGTTGTGAGAACGAGAAGAGAGGCGTGCTTTCAACATAACGGGAGAGTAATAACAAAAAGAGAAGCAACATTTTTCACGTAGGGGGGGCGATGAAGGATTTCTTAGTCAAAACAGCAGAGCGTCTCACTGGCACTAGAGCGGTCATTGGCTTGGCATTGGGAAAACAAACAAACCGCGAGAGTAGGTACTTACAGGGGGAGGCATGGGACAAGGGATTCTTTTGTGAAAACAGCAGAGCTCCAACCAGGTATCAAACAGGTATCAGCTGAATCAGGCACTCATTAGGGGAGGTGGGCAATGAGGGAATCACTGGGGGAGGCGGGCAATGAGGGACTCACTGGGGGAGGCGGGCAATGAGGGACTCCTTTGTGAAGACAGCGGAGCGGCCAAGCGACGCTGATACCTTCTCTAGCTCCGTCCTCAGTCCCTGGTGGGAGGGCAGGGGGTTGCCAGATCAAGAGCACAGCAGATTGGTCCACTAAGCAAGGCAAATGCCGATGCCTTTTCCGACTAGAGGGGAGGTGGGTCCCAGGGGAGGTGGGTTGGAGGGAAGGTGGGTTGGAGGGAAGGTGGGTTGCAGGGGAGGTGGGTTGCAGGGGAGGTGGGTGCTTGGGTGGAAGGGGGAAGGGTGGGAGACAGGGAGGGAGCAAGAGGAGTGGGGGAGAGGCAGCACGCACCCTCTTTCGTTCTTCAAGCAACAAGCTAATGTCACTGCGGATGTGGAGCAGAGAAGGTGAGGTGAAGGGGGGAAGTGGGGGGAGTGCAAGGGGAACTCACCCTCTTAATGCCATGACTCACCCTCCTAATGCCTTGACTCACCCTCCTAATGCCTTGACTCACCCTCCTAATGCCTTGACTCACCCTCTTAATGCCTTGACTCACCCTCCTAATGCCTTGACTCACCCTCCTAATGCCTTGACTCACCCTCCTAATGCCTTGACTCACCCTCCTAATGCCTTGACTCACCCTCCTAATGCCTTGACTCACCCTCCTAATGCCTTGACTCACCCTCCTAATGCCTTGACTCACCCTCCTAATGCCTTGACTCACCCTCTTAATGCCTTGACTCACCCTCCTAATGCCTTGACTCACCCTCCTAATGCCTTGACTCGCCCTCCTAATGCCTTGACTCGCCCTCCTAATGCCTTGACTCACCCTCCTAATGCCTTGACTCACCCTCTTAATGCCTTGACTCACCCTCCTAATGCCTTGACTCACCCTCCTAATGCCTTGACTCACCCTCCTAATGCCTTGACTCACCCTCCTAATGCCTTGACTCACCCTCTTAATGCCTTGACTCACCCTCCTAATGCCTTGACTCACCCTCCTAATGCCTTGACTCACCCTCCTAATGCCTTGACTCACCCTCCTAATGCCTTGACTCACCCTCCTACTGCCTTGACTCACCCTCCTAATGCCTTGACTCACCCTCCTAATGCCTTGACTCACCCTCCTAATGCCTTGACTCACCCTCCTAATGCCTTGACTCACCCTCTTAATGCCTTGACTCACCCTCCTCCTAATGCCTTGACTCACCCTCCTAATGCCTTGACTCACCCTCCTAATGCCTTGACTCACACTCTTAATGCCTTGACTCACCCTCCTAATGCCTTGACTCACCCTCCTCCTAATGCCTTGACTCACCCTCCTAATGCCTTGACTCATCCTCCTAATGCCTTGACTCACCCTCCTAATGCCTTGACTCACCCTCCTACTGCCTTGACTCACCCTCCTACTGCCTTGACTCACCCTCCTACTGCCATGACTCACCCTCCTAATGCCTTGACTCACCCTCCTAATGCCTTGACTCACCCTCCTAATGCCTTCACTCACCCTCCTAATGCCTTGACTCACCCTCCTAATGC